GACAAATCGTCAGATATCAACAATGTGAGTCAGTTGTCAATTTTGATTCACTATATGACACAGTGAAGTGAAAGAAAAATTCTTGAGCATTACTGATCTAGCAAGTACTGATTCCGAAACCATTATGAGTTCACATGACAGAGAGCTGATGAAAAGGAACCTGGATTACAAGAAAATAATTTATTGCACTCTCGATGGTGCCACCAATTTTTCAGTAAAAATATGTGTTGTACATAAGCAGCTTTCAGAGAAAGCAGGAAGGGAAATTCTTTATGTACATTGTAGGGCCTACCTTTTATCTTTAGCCTTAACCAGTGCTCGAGATAAAATCGTGTCTGTGAAGAGGGTTCTCTATGTCATCAAAGACATATATTCACTATTCCACAAGTCATTATAGCGTGAATGTGTTGCACGAAGTTGAAAGATCATCGGAAGAACCTGAACTGAACATTCTAGAATCAATTAAAGTGCGCCGGCTCAGTAATTACAAATCTGTTCATGTTGTCTCAACTTGTTACTACTAAATTGTGGTGGCCTGTCAGCACCTATACAAAGACGGTGCAGATTTAGCATCGTTAACAGGAGGTATTTAGCTGGAAATGGAAAAATCTAGTTTTACTGTTATCCTAGCAGTTTTTGAATGAGGCGTTATGCGCAGTATCTAATCTCAGCAAAGTTTTGCTAAATGAAACCTAAACTTTTCACCAGTTTCTCAGCTTGTGACGTTGATGATAGCACATTTGAGAGATATAGGGGCTCAGTCTGCCCATTTAAGTAAAGAAAACTATTGCTATAGCTGTCGTAAATCTCAAAATAAAGGTTTCTGATGTGCGGGCGATTTTTTAAAATGAGCCAGAAAGTCAAATCTTTAAAAACGTTAAAAATTTGTTGATACTATGATTGAACAAAAGGAGCACTGATTCAATGATCAAGAGGTCTCCCTCTTTGACGTATGTGCTTCCTTTCAAACAATCCAGTCAAAGTTCAGTTGGATGTATGATTATGTGAAGAGAGAATGTAGCTTCTTTGATGGACTGGATGTTGATGCCATGTGGGCTAACTTGAGTTCCTTGAAGTACGTTGCAAGAAAGCAAGAAGATCAAGATAAAAATCTTGTGCATTACTTGTGGAAAGCAAACATCGGTTATGACAATCTTAAAAATTAAATGAATGCCTGATGGTGTCGGTTTCGACTGCTGGTATGAACCGTATTTTATATAAGCTGAGAAAATAGATGGGACAAGACACGTTTCAAAGCTGC